TCTGTACATTGCCAGATACTAGTCCCGTGCCTGAGTAAACATTATTTAAATCATAGTATGAACAGAAGGTACTACCGTTTGGTGTGATAAAAAGGGCAGAAATTACTTAGATTTAAAAATGGAATTAATTTAAGAATTTACTTGGGAGGGAAAAAAATGTAATTTATTAGAATATTATAACAATAAACTTATAAAAGACATGTTTTAGTTTTAGAAAAAACTGTTCAATGATAAACTCATCTATAGGTAGGCAACCTTTAGGAAACGAAATGCTACAAAAGTGAAAAATCTCAAATCAAAAATACTAAAATAATCCCTTATTTTGAGAAACTCTTAAGATATAAATATGAGAGAAAAAATATATTTCTACAGTATTTCATGGAATATACCCAGTTTTAAAGTGTAGTCAGAGGTATACACAACTTAAATACTGTTCTATCGCAACAACATGTTTGATATGTGCCAAATGAAATTCAGTAAATAGATATGAAACAAACTAATTTAATTGCTGACAGTTAAAATACAGAATTAAAAATACCATATGCATTTTAATTTATCACACATTTTAGGATAGCCATAAAGTCAACTTCTTATTCATGTCATACTTTTGTATAAATGAATCCTGGAATTGGTTGAACCTCTTTTTGGTTTGTAGTAATTACAATGAGTGGAATCACTTTCCTCCCACAACTACACTTAAAGAGAAGTTTTCTCCTTGTACCACCAACCCAAGTTTGGCATCATGACTGTCTTTTCTGTAATGGCAGTCTCAACTCAAGAAACTTGTTTTGATTATCTATTTTTTTAATGAATATTGTATCATAATTCCCTTTAGTCACCTTTCAGTTGACTGAAAGGTGACTAAGATGCAAGGTTATAAAGAGTAGACTGATTTCCCAATTACCCTGTATATAATGGAGGGATGAATCAATATTTGGTTACTAAAACACAATCAGCCTGTTTGTAAAACTAAGTTGTTAAATGCTAGGATATCCCCTTGTAAACAAATTTGAATTTTACTTACAAACATTATAACATGCAAATTTCATATTTATTTTTCATTCAAGAGAGAAAAATCATCATGCTTGATTATTTAACATATTAAATGATTTTAAACATGCAAAATATAGAATGACAGTGGGAATTTGATCGTTCAAATATCTGTCAGTATCATTAGATCTAACACTGATAACTTTTGGCAAGCTTTTAGCATATAATTAATTGAATAAAAATAAAGATAATGTCTTAAAAACTTGCATAATCAAAGAATAAATTATTTGTGGTTAAATTAACTGCCTAGAGTCTAAAAACCTTATTACTTTTCAGCTCTCTGTTATATCAATAATAAACGTTTTCTTATTTTCCAGGGCTCAACTTACTTCATGTTTTGGAAATGAATATACATTTCTCTAAAAGCAAAACCAGAACAACAAAAAACAACCTCACTGAAGAAATTCTGAGCAGCATGCGGTATCCAATTCCAATAGTAAGTACTATAGAAAATGCTAATTGAGTGGACTGGTTTTAATCGGACCCAAAAAATTAGAGGATAGAAATATAGAGAAGGTAAAATATTTAAAGCTGTTTTGTATAATAACAGCTCTTCTATTTTGAGAACAGGTATCTAATCTAGTAACTTCACTTATCTTCACAATAGCAACGAAATAAGTACTGAAGTAATAGATGTCACAAAATCCATGCACTTAAGTATAATCCAATTTTTTGGGTCTTCACCAAGTCAATTTTACTCTTACTTTATACATTATTCTAGCTGTCTTAGTCACCTCGTTTCCAAAAACCAAAGCAGACTAAGGAGCATTATGAAGACGGAGAAAAAAGGCTATTGCTACAGGCACACTTAGGCAAGCAGTAATGTAAGTCAGAGGAATTAGAACTATTAGAAAACAAAAACAACAAAAAAAGCATTGCAGAATGGAGCCATT